ATGGTACTTGTTCAAATGTATGTGTGTATACACCATCTGAAAGTGAAGTTCCATGTCTTTCATAAAATAATGACAGAAGGGCAAAACATCCCATCGATTAAACGTGCCCCGCCTTTTTCGTTTGAATGTCCTGCCCAGTCGACTGAGCTGCTAAGATCCCCAAAGTTGTAAATATGTTATATGGCTTTGTTTCTAGACAGCTATTCTGGGGATCAACAACAGGTGTATGGCAATCAAACTATGATGGGACAAACAGGAAACATCTCCTGTCAACATCTGTTCTCGTCAGTGGACTTACAGTTGATGGTATGTAAGCTACACTTATAGAAATGTCTACATTGTTGGTCGAGCAAAATAGTTGATAGTCTTCATGCATAGTAACGTGTACCTTCACCAAAGGTTTTGTTATCTGTTCAATTAAATCCATCCATTGAACGTTTTTCTTAAAATTTGTATTAATTGATAATTATTTTATTCATTTTTGTCATTAATTAAAAAACCCTAATAGACAAAATGAACAAAAGCTAAACTAAAACATAACCAATGAATGCACTAAAATCGGAGAGGAAACTGGTATCATTATTTCGATAACTAAAACTTGTTTCCTTATATCGATCACTAAAACCTGTTTAATTATATCGATCACTAAAACCTGTATTAATATTTCGATCACTATGCCTGTATGATTTATCCGTTTATTTAATCCTTTAAAATTGCATCGATCACTAAAACCCGTGTAATTATTTCGATCACTAAAACCCGTGTAATTATTTCGATCACTAAAACCCGTGTAATTATTTCGATCACTAAAACCCGTGTAATTATTTCGATCACTAAAACCCGTGTAATTATTTCGATCACTAAAACCCGTGTAATTATTTCGATCACTAAAACCCGTGTAATTATTTCGATCACTAAAACCCGTGTAATTATTTCGATCACTAAAACCCGTGTAATTATTTCGATCACTAAAACCCGTGTAATTATTTCGATCGGTATGGCTGCATAATTTTTGTTTAAATTTTTATCAATCATTAAAAACCGTATATATTACAGTAAAACCCCGTTTTAATGCCACCCGTTAAACCGCCAAATCCGCATACCGCCTTAAATTTACTCAGAAAGGATTTCCCCCAACGTTCATGTTCACGTTGTAAAGCCAAACGCACATACCGCCATCTGCCATCATATTTCCAAAACAAATGGATAAAATCACACTATTTTGACCTCGCGAAATACCGACAATTTGTGTCGAGTACAGTTATATCCCGATGGCAATTTAAAATCATATCAATCATTAAAACCTGTATATATTATATGTATATGAAAGCAGAGAGACATTTTGTCGAATAAATGGAGAGGAAATCGATAGCAAAGACGTTTACATATATTAAAGGAAAAAATGTGTATACTTCTGTCAATTACAGACATTTGAATTGCAATTTACAGCGAGTTTTATTGTTTTTATTTATTTTGCAGAGAGGAACGTTTATGGCATAAAGAATGAAAAGATCTTCAAGATTGACCGATCCCTGTCATTAACCTATACCGAGATCTTTGACACTGGGGACTCCACCAGGGCTAAAAGTCTGGTCTTGATTGGGAATAGTCTGTACTTCAGTAGTGCAGTGTGTATATATAACCCGACCAACAGGTGCAACAGGTAGGTGTGTCATACAATTATCACTACAATATTTAATGATAAGTACAGTGTAACGCGGGACAAGCCTCTGTAGAGATAATTAGAAATTAACAAAACAAACTATACAGTTACACAAAAACACACAATAGGTGAACTTAACTTGCCAGCTGTTGATGACCTCTGGCTGACCTTGAGGGGTGGGGGGTCCTGTGTCCCGTTTGCCACTTGCACCCACTGCAATGTCCAGATGTGGTCGTACTCCGCCCCTGGATAGCTTAAACAATACACAAAATAACCATCACAACCTTGCATACTTCGCCATTCAAGCCATACATTTCACTCAACAAATATTAAGATGTTATATAATGACACTATTATATTAGTCAATCTTAACAACTGAGATACTATGATATTTAGTAAAACAGTTAAGTAAGTGAAATATTATAGCCGGACCGTACTTTCATAAATGGCTCAAACACGATAACATATTGATAATAATTTTGATATTTCATCCTTAAATGTCCGTTGACATTTCTCGTCATTCACAATGTAATTAATTATAAGTTAATAGTCAGAGATATATATTTTGCACATTGCTATATTTATACAAGTATGACACAATATTTAAACAAATGAAAATCATCCGATCAGAAAGATTGTTCTATATCAAATGATTAATCAAAAAGCAAATTGTTTTGATTTATTTTAATATTTCTTCATTCGCGTTTATATTTGTGTTTTTTTTTCATGCATGCAGCTCTATTGCAACCGTGAAAACAGATGGTTCTGACTTCAAACTGTTTGGTCCAATCGTGTTAACAAATCGCGGATATCAACATGCACTTGTATACGTATCAAGATCTAACAGCGAAACAACACTAGCAGCAACAGCGATCCCGATAGTGCCCGTGTCAACAACAACAGGTATGAAGCTTCCACGTATTACAATTATTATAATATGTAATTTCAGTTGATACAGGGTAATTTTCCACACATGATACATATACTGTACAAAATCATGCATTATATTCCGAAAAGGAAAGTAGTAGAAATAAAACACAGAACCGACACATTTTTTGTATAGTTAGGTTTTTAAACAAGTTTTAAACTTGATGTTTGCTCCTTTTCCCCGCGGAACCACTTTTGAAGCTATTTATTCAAACAAACTTAAGACAAGGTGGTGTTCAACCCGTATCAAGTCGACAACCGGAACGCAGAACCCTTTATACTGGTCTTATCGATGAGATGGAACTCAGAGAATTTTTAAATATGTTGGTCGTGTTGTTGGGATTTGCATTAAGGAGGAAACTGTGATCGACCAACATCGAGAGCGGTTCATTAAGGATCCCCGTACAACTGCCACAAACTGTTACTTAGTATCTGAAACTTTGTTTTTTCAACATGTATTTGATAAATCATTTCTGAAAAGAAAACCATACCTTGTGGGACATTTATGAGATAATATATACAGGATCTAAGTAATAATTAAGTTCTGAGTGTAAAAAGGACACATTGGGTCTAGAGCCGGGTTCGAAACCTGAACTTTACACTGCTCAAGTATTGCTTTAACCGAGTAATTTACCTTGTCGATGGAAGTGTTCTGACCTGATTGCTCTACAGTTCTATCAAAACGGAAGTTAAGGGGAGGTAAGTACATATATGAAAACCACAGTGCAGTTGGACAGGGATCCTTAAATGGAAGTAGTATTCAGTTCGCCTCAGTGTTTATGTTAAACGTCGTTGATATGCCTCAATATTCGTAATTGATAACAACAAGGGAATTTATAGTCAGACAGAACTCATTTTTAAGGAATATTATAATTTTCAATATATTTACAGAACCCCCTTGTTATGAACAAACTATCGAAGAAAGCGGCAGAGATGATATTGAAGGGGATTCTTTCTTCCTGTCTGGAGCTGCTGAACGATCATTATATAAGCTCAACGAAAATGGAATATACTCTACTATACCTATGTCACATATCGTCACTGCCCAGGCATATGATCACGCTTCTAACAGAATATTCTACGGTGTCGCTTTCCAGCTGTATGTTTACAGTATGCGCATAGACGGAAGTGACGTCAGGAAAGAGGCCACAACAGGTATGTTTTGAAATTGTTCTTTCTATTTGATACAATGGAGGACACAATATTACTGTTATTTTACACCTTTTGCAACTTTATCACCACCACAACTGTATACACTTTGTTCCAATAATGTGTTACGATTGTTAACATAGCCACACAAGGAAAAACCTGAAACACAAAGTCGGTTGGAGAAGCAAAGAAAACGACATACTTTTTACAATTTGACAAGAGACAACACTCACGTGGCGCAGGAAAAGCTTTACTATTCTAACTGGTTTAACATGCGTTTTGTAAGGATATTCTTTTGATTTTGTGTCTCTAATTTCTAGTTCTACTTGTGTCATAGTATGTTGACATTATAGGATAATTGCGTGTTTTGTTGGTGTTTGTTTTTGCTGTAAGTATTTACATCCATCCATTTGTTCCAACCATTTTAAGTCAGCATGCCTATTAGGAAATACATTTTTATTGATAGACCTCTACGTCCAAGCTCTGGCTGTGGACAGTTTCAAGCAGAGCATGTTTGTGTACTCCACCAGTAAAGGTAACATTTATAGGGTTAGACTGGGGCAGGACTGGACCATGGATCAGAGTAACGCCATCCACAGTGGAGAAGCAGAAGTGTTTCACATGGCCGTTGATCCGCACATCAGGTAATAATAATAGTATTATTTTTTCATGTTGAAGGCAGACATTACACGTAAATCAAATTTTTGCAAATAGGTCACAAATATACAAATCTTGGGTACTTATACCTGAAGTCCTGGGCACGTTCTAATTGGCTCGTTAAAATTATTTATATCATAGGTATCATCTTATTCATAAATCGATGTATCATTAATAGAGTATGTGTCGCAAGGAATTATCTCCACATTGCTAAGGTCAAGGCTCTCATGCCATAAAAGGTCAAATTGATGCTATGATTTTTCAGTAGACTGTAGGTATTCCTTTGTGATAAAACTGATGACAACAACATGTCCTAAAAGTCCATGCATTTCTGGAAAAAGTTCAATAAAATCCTAATAATGCTATGTCGTCTGCGCTTACATTTATTTCGCAGTAACCATCCATATTAGCTGAATATCATGTAAATTTGAAACGTAACATCGTCTTTTATATTGCCATTATTAAATTTCCAGAGAATATCGCTATCTGACAAATTACATTGCTAGATCAAGCAACATGTACACCATGCTTCAATTATTATCATACCCTTTTATCGATATAAATCTTAGATTGTTATTCTCTAAGTCGCGTGAGCGAATTAAACGCCATTGGTAATAACACCTTTAATAAGTAGGGCTATCAAATGCTTCCGGATGCTTACAGATACAAGTAGCAGCATGTGGAAAGTCTTTCTTGCTGAAAGTGTTAACCTTGGTGAACGATTATAGTTGAACTTGTCTAATACATTTGTTTGTTTCAGCAAATTGATATGGGGGTCGTATAATGGCGTTTTCCAATCGAACTACGACGGCACTGATAAGGAGCGGATATTCACTCACTCTGGGTATATTGATGGTGTCACATTTGACGGTGGGTAATTTTCTTATTCCTTAAACAAATCGAATATCATTTAGCGGAAATGTCTCCACGCCCTGAACCAACAGGCAGGCACGCCCTTTTCTGTTTGTCTAACTCGACCATCTAGATTTCATGGCAAATTTGTACTGATTTCAATTTTAACAAAATTGTCTTTGAAACTGAATGAATGCACTGTATCTAGCAACAATCAGCAAATGTTACCCATTGGGTAGTAATATCTCATTCAGTTGGTTACTACAAATGATCTGTCTGCCTTGCACACTTTCTCGCATGGGCACACTGCACTTACAGAGGTATCAGGCATCAACACTGTTGTGCATTCTCCTTACAATACTCCCACACGTATTCCGACATCATCAGTATCGTACGAGATTCTACATTATTCCTCCGAATTTAGTGTCCGTAAACTGTCGCTCGGTGAAGCATAAGTCATTGTCCATCGGGCATTTTGTAACATCTAAGCACATTGACATTCTTTCATTAACAGAAACATGGTTTGGTTCAGATATCGATGACCAGGTGCTCCCCGTTCTCTGTGCTACTAGATTCCAGGGGTCTGATTCAGCATTTGACAGAAGCTACACACACCATGGTCACGCACTGGATGTTGTCATAACAAGGGAAGATAACTCGGTCATGCATGGATCAATTTTAGCGATTGATCCATGTCTAAGTGATGTTAAGTGGAACCAATATGGTGATCACCTTGCTGTCCAAACAACATTTAATTGTAGTAAGCCAGATCGTGCAAGAAAAGAGTTGAGCTTCCGGAAATTCCGCGAAATTTCAATACCAGATTTCAACAATGACATTCAGTCTTCTTCTGCCCTTCAATCTACCGAAGGTGATGATCTTGTTGAAGCATACACATCTAGAATAGAAGCCCTTATATAGAAACTAGCACCTCTACAGACTAAGGGGAAAGCTGTATGACCGAATGTCCCGTGGTATAATGAAAATCTCCGCAGAAAAGCAGAGAGACAGTAGCGAAGGACCAAATTAACCGTTTAACGACAGATTTATAAGGAACAATTTCGGCTAGTTGGTTCACTTCTCACTCAGTCAATGAAGGCTTATTAATCGGAAATAATCGAAGAATGTGGTAAGGATCATAGACAGCTTTTTAGACTCACCAAAAACCTAATGGGTCAGAGAGGTGAAATCATCCTGCCAAGCTGTACTTCTGAAAAAAGACTTGTCAAACAAGTTCAGTGATTACTTTCTAAAAGTAGCTTAAACATATATAAATATTGGCGAAGTGAACTCTGCTGCTGATAATGATATCTCTGTCTTGACTGCTGACATTCAATTTGATGGGGAACCATTAACAAAGCTCTCACGAACAACTCAGGACGAGGTGCGCAATATCATCATGACCTCGGAATCGAAGTTTTGTTAGCTTGATCCACTTCCTACATACCTATTACAGCAATGTCTTGAAGTACTGCTTCCTTTGATAACATCAATCATGAACAAATCATTGTCTGAGTCAAAGGTTCATTGTATTTCAAGAAGGCACATGTTAGACCGTTGTTGAAGAAGCCTGGAATGAAAAAGGAGGAGTTGAAGAACTACTGCCCATTATCAAGTCTGCCTTTCCTGTCTAAGATCTTAGAGAAAATTGTGTCCTGGCGTTTAGAGGTTCATCTCTATGCAAACAGTCTCCATGACAACCCGCAATCAGCCTACCGCATGGGACACTCTTCTGAGACTGTCCGCCTACGTTTACATAATGGCAAAGTTTCTGCATTGAATAAAATGTGCAGAGCGGTGCTTGTCATGCTGGATTTGTCAGCTGCATTTTACGTCATTGACAATGGCATACTTTATTAACGTCTGGAGTCCGCATTAAGCTGGATAGTCTTATCTGAGTGAACGGCGACAGTGTTATGTCATCGGATCTACCATTTCACATTACAAAGTACTAGATTTCGGAGTTCCTCAAGGGTCGGTGTTAGGACCACGAATATATTGCCTGTATTCCAAACCAATCGGAGAGATTTGTCGTTGAGATAGCCTTCGCTATCATTGTTATGCTGATGGCACACAAATGTACATGGTCATCAAACCACAGGACAGTTGGGATACAATATCAAAACATCTGGAAGCTTGTCTGACAGACATCAGTATCTGGATGAAAGCAAACACGCTAAAGCTTAATCAGGAAAAGACTAATCGTCTTTCCCCAAAGTGTCAACAAACAATGGCTTTCCAGATCAAGATTGGTGCCAGAACTATTGAGACTGTCCCAGCTGTTAAAAACCTAGGGGTATACTGTGATAGTTCAATGAGCATGAAGAAAACAAGTGAACGCTATTGCCAAATCCTGTTACTACTAGATCAGGAACTTCAGCTGTATCCGGCAGTTTATGACTGCAGATGCATGCAAGAATTTGGTGCATTCACTTGTTACCTCTCGGTTGGATTAAGGTTATGCCCTGCTCTGTGGTATATCTAACAAACTCACTAGTCCAAGACACTGAAGCACGTCTGATTACTCGAACCCGAAAGAGAGAGAGAGAGAGAGAGAGAGAGAGAGAGAGAGAGAGAGAGAGAGAGAGAGAGAGAGAGAGCACATCACACCTGTGCTATATTAAATGCGCTGGTTACCTGTATGATACCAACGTTTTGGTGTACACATACAAGGCACTGAATGGAACAGTTCCCAAGTACCTACAGGAGCTTGTTACACTCACGCTCACTACGGTTGGAGACATAATCATTGTTGTGTGTCCCAAAATCTCGTACCATGACCTATAGAAACCGATGCTTGGGGAAGGTTTCGGCCACTTTGTGGAATAGCTTACCATATGCTATTAATAATAAGATACTTATCTACTTGCTTAATGTATATTGTGATTGTAAGCCATTTTTATATAACAATTATATCGAATACTATTATCCATATGTTGTAAAGCGCTTAAGAGTAATTTTACAAATTATATAGGGCGCTACATCAATGTTGTATATCATTATTAATAGGATAAAGAATTCTCCTTACGTTATATCTTGTTATATAATTACAGTATTCTATTAACAATATAAAAATCTATTTAGCCGGTATATGTTCTGATATTCTGTAAATTATTACAATATGAGGATGAAGATACAACTGTGGACGTACGTGGACCTCAATGATAGCCTTATATGATTGAACAATGTAGATATGCTTTCACGATATCTGTACTCATTGGTAGCATGCATATGTTTCTAAAACTTAATATAAAACAATACAAATTGTTTGGTTGATAATTTAAGTCTCTGATGTAATCTGTCTGACAGAATCGTCGATCTACGTGCTGAGTGAGGATACTGTATGGAAGGTTGACAGGTCAACACTCCTGTTCTACGTAATCTATCAACAACATAACAGTCAGAGCGGCTTTGATTTATCGGGCTTGGTTGCGACTGGAGGACATGTTTACTTCGGGAAGTACCACTGCACTTACAACCCTTCTGCAGATTGCATAATGTAGGAGCCTTTTTATTGAATCACTTAAGGAAACAAATACACGTTTCACTTAAGGAATGATTTTTATTTTTTCAACATTTATGAGGTCATAAATGTTGAAAAAATAAATATCATTCCTTATATTTACATTGACGAATCCTTTCAGTGGATCGATATAACAACGAATAAAGCAAATAAACAGGGTTTGTTCCTGCTTATACACGGGTGCAACGCAGTGGCGAGAACAGTGTTTTTACGCGGGGAAATGTGACACTATCGTGAGAGATCTTAGCAACCGTCAACAACAATAACACAACAAAATGTAGTTCCATATTCAATGTTTATTTGTAGCACAGGACACGTGAATACGTGGATATTTCACAAAGCACAGTTCAATAATATTTTAAGTTGTAAGAATTAAGCATCTAGGTCGGTCGTTCCGAGTGAGTAGTTTTTGTAGTGTATTACTACGCAGTGTGATCAGGTTACTATCAGTTCCCACGTGCTGAGATTCTATGAACACCTGTGTTATGCATTTATGAATGTAATTTTTGTCAATGGGTCTAAGCATACAGAATGTAAATATTATGTAATGGTGGTATATACAGCCGCATTGGTTTTCGGTGATTGAATGATTTAGTTTTGATGAATGACATATGGAATAAATGATTAACTGGGCATTTACTGGACAGAATTAGTTGAATATGAATAATTAAATAATTAAAGAAACAACTTCTAAGAATGATTTACATTAGACATGAATGATTGAAATTACCTATTGAGGAGTGAGTGACATGGTACAAGAATGAAACCATTATCTATTCCGGAAGTAAATGGCATGGGGCATGAATGATGAAATGGATATGATTGAATCAATTACACTTGCACGAGTGATGAGGAGTTTGTTATAATTAACATTACTTTTCATGAAGCGGAATCGCACGAGTACGAAATGGTGGAACAATGTACGAAGACGTTGGCCCAATTCTCCGTACGACGTTCATACAAACGCCCAAATTGGTTCACAAAAGTGGTGGTGAGTACTGTAATCAGAGTTTATAGAAATATGTCTCACTTCCGGCCGTGTAGGCATAAGGAAAATAAAAGGATGTGTTTATCTACCCGGAAAGTGATTCCAACGCAAGCATAGCGAAAATTGACCGGATGAACCTTTTATCGTTTACATAGTGCTTTTATCAGAAAAAAGGAAAGGGGCTGGAATATGTCTTCTATAGAGTAAATAATACTTAAATAACGATAAATAAAATCGACGGGTTTTCTGTTTATTTTCACGGGTGTATAATATAAGTATACAGAAAAGGAGACACGTGTTATTTTAACAAGTCTATTAATACTTAAATGTAAATCAAATAAAGTGTTATACTTGGTATGAAGTTACACGGGGATGGAGAAAAGAACCACAGTGCTGTCTGTTACAAACGCGAGTAACAGAACGTATACCACAATTACATGATTGATTTGAAATTGGAATCATAGGTTTCAATTTAATAAAAAAGGAATAGAATGGCTATCGAAATCAATTAAAATTAAAAGAAAGAAAAAATGTTAATTTCATACAGTCTTATTGATGTAACTTTCATTTACTAGCTAAACAGCTGAGAAGGTGCAGGGATGAAGTCGTTGATGACACTTATCTCGGCAGTGAACTTAACCACAGAGGGGAGATAAACGGTATGTAAAACTATTGCCATTTCAGACATTCATTCGAGAATAAAATATTTTCATCCCCACTGCAACAAATAAAATCAAAACTGAATACAAAAACCTTCATTTAAAATTGAAAGTGTGTCGTCATTTATATTGTGATCTTCAAAACAAGGTTAAATTTAAAGTGAAAATCAGGTAACCTTATAACGATATCTACAGTGTCGTTATTTTTATCACACGGTTGCTGCCTCTGCCTCTTCGGATTGTTAACAATTCCAGATGTTGGCAGTAATCTTATAGGTTGTACTTATTCCTACACTGTTACTAGGTCTGATTGTTGTGGTCATTAGCGGTACCAGTTTAAATTAAATGAATGCAAAATATAGATAACATTAAACAACGCATAGAACGAAACTAAATGCCTATCAGGGGACAACTTTAAAGACAGAAATGAATAACAAAGGAATACCGAAGTGTCAAAAAACTAACATCCGAACTTAATATCGTAAACTATGGCAAATAGGAACAAAGGAAGGTTTACATCATTTGAAATCTACAAGGAGAATAACTGGTCAATTGAACTATCTTTATGTATCTTTATATACATCTTGTAACACGTACTGACTTTCAAATGATTGTAAATTCTGTGCATATCCGTGTTTTTGTGTATGTGTTGAATTTTACAGATATAAAATGAATCGCTAGATACTTTGTAGAGTAAATGAGTTTCCTATAGAAAAAAACCCCGTATACTACATTTATATTAATTTTGTATATTCTCGTACCACTGATAAGTCCCTTACATATGAAATGGCCGTACGGTGTCATGGCTACCTAGACATACTACATTTATATCAATTTTGTATATTCTCGTACCACTGATAAGTCCCTTACAGATGAAATGGCCGTACGGTGTCATAAACCGTGTTCAGTTTGTTTGAATGTCTACATAGACATACTACATTTTGAAATGGGTGTTTCCTTGATTTCTAGTGATAATCCCACTGCTGAAAATACAAATATTAATGCCACTCACTGTATATATATAAACGGTATTTTACGTGAACTATTATTATATGATAAATACATTCCATACCTTCATGTACAGTAATGTGGACTCGATGGTAAACTAAATATATGATCTATTTCAGATACGGTGGTAGTAGTGTTAGTTGTCTGTCCACTGGTGATAGTGGCGGCGGCGGCCCTCTTCTTTCTTTGGTCGAAAGTGTAAGTGTGGCAGAGAAGCAGTCAAAACATCTATCTTAAATGTTCAAATGTGATCTAAACGTAGAGATTAAGGAGATTACATTTTTTTATTTATTTAAATCGAATTAAAATAACCATTCAATGTTTGTTTTAAATAATGATCGTGATCACCGATAAGATAATGTGTATTCGAATAGGTAGCGATGAATCTGTTTAATAGGGAATGTGAATAGTTGTAAATTTAATGTTCTTTTCGATAGATTTTAACTAGTGTATACACATATCTTTATGTTGCATCAGTCTATTTCTTCTGTTAACAGCTGCTTTACCTATTTCAGATTTACTGAAGGAAGGCGTAGTTTGGCAGAGGGCTATATAACAGGTTTGGAATCGCCACATAACATAGGTGACGCTGTTGGAACAAATAGTCAATTGTCAAACAATGCCATCTACACGGTCCCGAACGTCAACAGCGAAAAGGCGGCAATAGAAAAACATTACCGTGAAATGGAGGCGATAGAAAATCAGTACCATGAAATACATGTGTACGATCAGATCAAGTGAATATGGGAGTCTCCCGATGACAATGACACCTTTGAAAGATGCTTTGAACAAAATCGCCCTTGTGTGTCATGTTTCACTAAATCGGTTGCGACGGGCACGAAATTCAACCGCTACGAAGCTTTAGTTACACTTGTTCGTAATTGTTGCCTTTTTGTGGAATTTTGATTGTTACTGAAATATATCCTATTATCTAAATACCATCATAATATGAATAAAATACGAATTTATACGAACTGTCTGGTACTAAATAAATGTTAATCCATAAAAACTAGGAGAATAAGGTGTTCAGGAAGGATAAGCGTCTTCTCCAATTAAAGTTACGCCCCCATAGCGAGAACTTCGACTGTGACAACTAAAAAACAAGTAACAACTAAAAGATGCACAGATGAGCACGATAAAAAACATCGACTTATAACACAAAAACAAACCACAGTTTCTAACCATGGTAAAGGACTATGCAAATACAAAGGGTATGTAAATGATTGAAACGCCGTAAATATATAATTAGCAGTAAATCAAATTGATACGTAAACATCTGAAATGATATCATGCTAATTTTGTTAACATCATATAAAGTTATATTTTTCTAATGACAGGTTATTTTCTTACTGTTTTGTATTACTATTTTTTCATATTATTCCCGACAAGAGATTGGGCAGGAGTGCATCACGTGTCCACCGATAAAAACCGATATTGACTTAGAGCGCTTGATTTTTGTTAAAGGACTGGATTTTCTAAAAATATAATTATGACGTGTCACCAAACAACTCACCGGTTTCGCTTCCGAAGCATTTTTGGTATGTTATTTTTTAGATTGCTGAAATCACTGTTTTGAAAATAATAAAATAATTGTAGCCTTTAACTTCGGTCGATACCTGGATTTATCGATCCCGAGAAAAGATATCGACCTCAGCCAAAGGCTATAATTGAATATTATCAATTATCTATCTTTGTCTTTTCCTGATCCCTACACCTTCGAAGATCTAATGCATTTAATGTTTTCATCTTTATTGATAATATTTGTTGTAACTTTAGTAGTAAACCCTTTACGCGATAGATAATGTTTTTTAACTTAAATCGACTGGGGTTGTCAATTCACAATTTGATAAATCCGTTATATAGGTTTCTGGTAATAACATATTTTTCCCTTGATAAAAGTATTTTCTTTTTCTATTACTACTAATTAAGACGTTTTACGCACAGGGGTTTTGCAATTGGATTTGATTATTTGTTAAAGCTTAATGTTCATGGGTTTAAATTGATATTCTTGATTTGGATTTTATAAAGGACACATTATTCAAAGTATTATCAAAATAGACTCCCCTTTTAAATTTCCTTCGTGGTTGATACATTTCACCATCTGGCAAACTTTCAAAGTTATACTTGCACTTTTTTCTCAATACCAATCAAACAGTGCTTCAACCATCATTAACATTTACAATGAATAACGATTTTTCGTCTGAAAAATATATACACGTGGGATCGACTACCGGTATCGTAAACATTTTGTCTATTGCTTTTATTTCTTATGTATATATATTATGAAAATATAGATTGCTTGCGTCATATTATACCTGTTGAAGATATCTTTGGGATGTCTCAATTTTCTTATTAAGAAATGAGTTGATCGAGGAATTATGTATTACATATTTGATTCTTAATAAATATTACAAGTTTAACAACTTGGTTGTATTTTATTTTAAATTGAGTCATATTATATTTTTAAGTTCAGCATTGATCACAAAAAACTAACAGGCTCAATTTGAAGGTCTTGCGTAATTATTTAAGCCTGCCGTTTCTTGTTCATCTATATTTACTTGGCCGTTATGTCTTCATAACAGATCAACAGGTAGGGCT